AAAAAACTAACTAAATAAAGAAATGTGGAGCTTCAGATGTTGTAATCACCAATGGCAACACGGAGTACAGTCTGTTTTCCACTTAGTCTTCCATTTAAGGGGGAGTCTCAGGGCTGCAGAGATACCTCAGCAGTTAGGAGTATGCACTGCTGTCACAGAGGACTTGAGTCTGATTCCCAGCACCTACCCAGATTGCTAACCATGTGTGGGGGCCCATGCCTGCAATCCCAACACAAGAGAGGTGGAGGCAGGACAGGTGTTCATAGTCAAGCTCTGCTATACAATGAGTTTGAGGCCAGCTTGGGATAGTAGAGGTACCACCACCAAAAAACAAACAAACAAACAAAACCTTGAGGGTGTGCTGGAGGCTTCTTCAGTGCCATAGCTGTCCATAAATTATCCATGCTACTGTAAATATCCCTAATTAAGCACAGTGGTTTCTCAAGGCAGGCTTGGGTGGGATGGTTTCCTTGGTCTGTTGTCTGTTCCCTGTCTGGGGTGAAGAGACATTTGTTCATGCCTTCCCAGGAAAAGTTATGAAACCAACTCCATATGGGGCAAGAGGCTGGAGAGATGACTCATTGGTTAAGAGCACTGGCTGGCTTTTTCAGAGGACCCAGGTTTGATTCCTAGCACCTACCTGGCAGTATTTAACCTCTGTAACCCCAGCCCCAGGGGGTGTGATGGGAATACAGCCTGGGTGCTCCTGAGGCTGTATTCTGGCCCCTGGGGTCACTGCATGCATGCAGTCCACAGACATGCTAACAAAACACCCAAAAACATAAAAATTAATTAAAAAATAGATGGGCCAATGGAAGCTTCTGACCACATCAGATTAATCATTTTGTTACTTAGCCAGGGTTTTTAACTGTGATACAAGATAGTAACTTAGCAAAAGGTACTCAGCATGATAACTGCCCCTTTAAGTCACAAGCAACACCAACATTGGCAGGCGAAGGATAAAGGCACGAGAGGCAGATCGTGAGTCAGAACTTCCAAGGTCCATGCTCTAGCTAGTTCCTTCCTAGGCTGACCCTGGACTTGTCCACTTGCCCACCCTTCCTTCCTTCCTACTGAGTCTTGTTTTGCAGTCAAGGCTGGACTCCAACTCACAATTCTTCTGCTTCAGCCACCTGAGTATCACCAGCTTGTGCTGTGGAGACCAGCTCAAAAATGCAAATTATGCATTTATTTTTGAGTTAAGAGTTTCTCTGTGAAGCTCTGGCTGTCCTAGAACTCGCTCTGTATACCAGACTGGCTTTGAACTCACATAGCCTGGCATGCATCTGCTTTCTAAGTGCTGGGACTTAAGGTATGTGCCACTATGCACAGCTTATGTGTAATTTTAAAATAAAATTTTAATTTGAGACAGGGTCTCACAGTTTCTCTGACTGTCCTGGAAATTTCCAGCTAGACCAGGCTGGCCTGAGACTCACAGAAATCCTCCTGCCTTTGCCTCCTGAGTGCTCAGATTAAAGGTGTGTACCATCGTGCCCAGCTAACTTTTTTTAAAAAATAATTTCATTTACATTTGTGTTTTGTCTCCAGGTATGTCTATACGAGGATGTCAGATCCCCTGGAACTGGAATTACAGACAGTTGTGAACTGCCATGTGGGTGCTGAGATTTGAACCCAGGTCCTCTGGGAGAGCAGCCAGTGCTCTTAACCACTGAGCCATCTCTCCAGCCCCATTAACTGTTTTTTTTAAAGACATTACATTTATGTGATTGTGCACATGTATGTACATGCACTTGCCTATGCCATGTCACACACATGGAGGTCAGAGGGCAATTTGCAGGGGTCAGTTCTCTCCTACTATCTGGGTCTCACATTGAACTCAGACCATCAGGCTTGGTTGAGCGTGTTTACCAAGTTAGCCATCTCACTGGCCCTGCCCCCTAGAACTTAACTCCTCGGCAAAGGTAGCTTTGCTTTATAATCTAACAAAAGGCACTTAAATACCTGAGGGGGGAAGCACTGAATCCCCATGTGATAGATGTCTAGGTTGAGAGCAGGGATTGCACCTCAGGGTGGTGTTCTGTGACTGCACGTCAAGCCATAGATGGCATCTTGTATTGAGCCTGTGGAGGCAAAACAGTATCACTGCAAAGGAAAGGAGTGTGTTGGTAGTCAAACGTGAGTGTCCATGGCCCTCACTTCAGATGTCCTGGAGGACACAGTCACCATGGCAGCGGTTACATGACTTTTTTTTTTTTTTTTTTTTTTTTTTTTTAATATGGGCTTATGTAGAAAAGGCTGCCCTCAAACTCACTATGTAGCTTGACCTCCTTATCCTCCTGCCTCAGCCTCCCATGTACTGGGATTATAGGCATATACCATCATATATGTGAACTTTTCACAGTCAGTGAGCAAGTCACACATGAATGCATTTGCCAAATACATTGGTGGGGAGACCAGGTAGGGATTTAGAGTAGGGGAGTCTCTGCTTTAGGCCTCTGATGCTGTCTGTTGACACTCTGTTTTTGGATTGTTGTAAGCTATGATTGGAACGTAAGAATACATTCTGAAGATGTTTCCTGATGATCAAAAGGATAAGTCAGAAACAGAGAGAGTCATAAATGGCTATTAAACAGACCTAAGTACAGTCTGAGATACGGATCTACAACATTCCAATTCTCCAAAATCAGTCTACAGAATCTTTAACACAAGCATGGCTTTTTAGAGAAGTCCACAAGGCAGACAGCATTTATCTGCTGCTTCTAACATTTCTGAATGGGAATTGAGACTAGGTTCCGTTTGTGCCTTCACTATTAATGCTGTGTAACACTGGCTAACTTATCTGACTTTTACGCCTCAGTTATGGCTAACTTTCTTTCTTTCCTCCCTCCCTTTCTTTTCTGAGGATTGAATGTAGGTCCTCCAGAGACCAGAGTTGTTAGCCTTCTGTAGGTAGGAAAGGAAAATTACCCGTAGAGAAAACTGTAAGTTGTTCACACAAATTGCAGTGAAGGGTTCAAGCATGGAGGCCAAGAGCACTAGAGAGGAGAAACAAGGAAGTCTGAAATCAGGTATGATACAACTGAGGGGACCCGATGAAGCAAGGTCACTGCCAGCTGGCCTGCTGGCTAACTTTCATAAGAGCGACCCCCACCACACACCTCATCTAACATTCTGGGCATTATTGCATTTTTTTTTTAATGAAGCTAATTATAGCTGACTAAATCGTAAAACAGCTTAACAATCCAGCCACCTCTCATGATGCCCAAAAAGTTACTTTCCTTCTGTAGTAAATGTACCTAGGTTGGATCCCTCATTCACTTCTCATTTTTTAATTTAAAATTACTATTCCTGTGTAAGGATGCATGTGCCATTATGCCTGTATGGAGGTCAAAGGTCAACTCTGTGAATTGGTTCTCTCCTTCCACCCTTATGTCAGTTGCCAAGCTTGAATGGCAAACCTTTACACATCAAAACATCTCTGGCCCTCTTTCTTACTTGTAATCCTCAATAAAAGCTGCAGGTGGTGTCATACATCTTTAATCCCAGTGCTTGGAGGCAGGGGCAGGCAGATTGTTGTGAGTCCAGGACAGACAGGACAAAAGAAACTCTGTCTCCAAAACAAAACCAACAAAACCTGCCTTCACCACACTCTTATGAGTGTGTCTTTAATCTTCATAGATCCTAAGCATCAAACTTGGAGCCATTTTCCCAGGCCAGTCTTTGTTGAGTCAAACACAATTGGGCCACGAAAGATCAGTTCACACTCAAAATGACTGCATCATCCTCATGTACTCTGGCTACAAAGATATACCCACAGCTTTCATTTCACTTGCTTTTTGGACATAGGTTATACTGTAGCCCAAGCTGCAATCCTTCTGCCTCCAAGTGTTGAGATTAAAGTAAAAGCCCACCACATCCAGCTTTTTTCACTTTTTTATTTTCAGACAGGGTCTAAGTTGCCCAGGCCAAAAACACTAGGGATGAGAACCCATGATCCTTCTGTCTCCACCTCCCCAGTGCTGGGATCACAGGCTGGTTGTATTTGGACCATTTTCGTAAGGTCCTCCTAACTCAAAATCTGTGAAGGCAAACCAGGAGTGTCAGCTCTGTGGGCCACCTGCCCAAATGACCAGGTTCTTCCTATAGGCGAACAAGAATTAAATGTGTAGGGAGTAAAAACACAAAGACTCAAAAAAAAAGGTGGAAATAAGCTGGGCATGGTGGTGCACGCATTTTACGAATTTAATCCGAACACTCAGGGAGGCAGAGGTAGGCGGACTGCTGGGAGTTCGAGGGCAGCCTGATCTACAAAGCGAGTCCAGGAGAGCCAAGGCTACACAGAGAAACCCTGTTTCAAAAAAACCAAAATCAAAAGAACGCAAATAACAAAAAGAGGCATTTATGAAGACAGTTTGCATTCCGTCGGGAATAACAGAGCTAGGAGACGTCTAATGGACTCTGGGTTGATCATCTGTAGGGCTCGTGGGCTCTATCTTTTTCCTTTCTCAATTCTCTCCTCCCCTTTCCTACTGCTTTATCTCCTCCACCCCGAGGGTTCATGGCCCAGGGTGATAACAAAGGCTGGGGAGGTGGCATCTCAACTGTAAAGTGGAAGCATTATCCGTCTGTACAGTCCAGCAGCCACGCTTTTTCCATCCGATCGCTTCCTTGACTAAGTATTCCTTAACAAAGTTTTTATTTTCTTCCGGTTTCCCTTCATGTCGGTAGGTGTCTCCTGGACTTTGATGCGTTACGACTGTCGTCGAGGCGCCTCCACGTCCTCAGGCTAATGCAAGCAGAAGCTCGAAGTACGGAATGAGGGATGACAGGAAAACAGTTTCTCACGAGTCCCGGACACGTCATCGAAGGCTGCACGGTCGCTCCGTGACCCCTGCTCCCCACGGTACCTTTCCCGGCCGGGAACACCCAGACTCCGGAAGTCCGAAGCGTCACGGAAATGACGCACCGCGCACGCACCGCGCGCGCGCTCGCGGTGCCGGGGGCGGGGCGTGCGGGGGCAGGGGCGGGGCAGGGAGCGGACTGACTGAAGCGGCGCTGGGAGCGGCTGTCGGACGCCGGCGGAGCGGCGGACTAGGTTCGGAGGGACGGGGACCACGGAGGCGCGTTCCCACCCGGAGCGGGGCGGCGGCGGCGGCGCGGCCGGCCGCGCGCTGACCCCGGGACGCTCCGTCCCGCCACTCAGCCGGGCGGGCGCGGAGGGCCAGGCCGTCAGAGCTCCGCTCCCGGCCTCTCCGGCTCGGCCGAGTTCTTCCCACCTCGGGGTACTCGGACTCCCGGGAGGACGCGGTCTCCGGTCGTCGGCTGTCGCTCCGCTCCCATCCGAGTCTGGAGTTGTGGTTGCGGCCGGGCGGGTCCCCTCCCGGAGCCCGCGTGGGTCTCGGGCATGGTGCGGGCTTGCTGTGGCGCGGGGTTTTGAATACTTGTTTCAGGTGGTAGAGGCCAAGGTTATGGGTGTCTCTGAATGAGAAGTCGTGAAGCTGAGGCAGGAGGATTGCCGCGAGTTTGAGGGCACCCTGCGCCGCTTAGGAAGACCCTCTTATGAAAAATAAATAATAATAAAGGCAGCCCCTGATTCCGAGCTGTCTGGGAGGAGAGCCGGGGGGATGTCCCTCCATCCCTTCGCGGAAGTTCACTCCAGAGAGGGAAGCGCCGTGGAGACTAGGTCATGGGCAGCTGGCTGTGTCTCAGAGCTAGTGACCAACCTCTGTGGTTGGGAAATGTATTGCTGGATGCGGTTGGCTGCGGCTGCCCACGGAGTTTAAAGGTGATATTTTGGCAGGAGAAGTTTACAGCATCGCCTGATTTTGTGTTAGAAGTGTACCCCCTAACACTCTACACCTCTTGAAAGTTAGCAGTTGGGCCTTTTAAGCCTCAAACCTAGAACTACTTAAAAAAAAAAAAAAAAAAAAAGACCTAGTTAGTCACTCACTTCTGTTAACCTAGTATTTGGGAATTAAGGCAGAAACAGCCTTGGTCACCATCAACCAGGGCTGTATAATGAGTTTGAGGCCAGCCTAAGCTACAGAGTGAAATTCTACACTCCCACCCCAAAGTCCAGTTAAAAGACGAAAGAAGAATCTCAAAATAAAATTGTCAAGCTCGCCACTGGGCGGTGGTAGTGGTGGCTGCAAACGCCTTTAATCCAAGTACTCAGGAGGTAGAGGCAGGGAGGATCTTTGTGAATTCGAGCCCAACCTCCTCTACAGAGTGAGTTCCAGGATAGTCAAGGCTACACAGAGAAACCCTGTCTCCAAAACCAAAACAAAAAGAAAAAGAAGCTTGCTACTTAGTGATGACTGACTTGAAGGTTTTCACGTGCCAGACAGGCTGTTAAACTGAGCTACATCCCCAGCTTATGTTCAGCCTTTTTACTTTGTGGGGGATTGTTTGTTTATGTTCGTTTGTGTGTTTATATCTTGGGACCCTTGTTTATGTTGGTTTGTGTGTTTATATCTTGGGACAGGGTCCCGTAATGAGACCCTGGCTGACCTGCATGACTCTGAACTTGGAGCAGTCCTCCTGCCTGTGTCTCTCAAGCCCTGGGATTGCAGGTGTAGGCCACTGTCCGGCTGGTTTGCTGTCTTTTGGTATTTGTGTTCACAGTTTGTGTATGGAGGCCAGAGGCTAGCTAATGATGGATATCCTGCACAGTCTCTTACCAGCCCTGACTTTTGAAATAGGTTCTCAGTGACTCTGGAGCTGGGTTTGGCTAGAGCCAGTAGCTGGCCAGCAGGCTGCAGGGATCCTCCCAGTCTCTGCCTCCAAGTGCTGGGGTCACAGACACAGCACACTTTCTTTTTAACGTGGGTGCTGGGGGTCAGAGCTCAGGTTCGCATGCTTCTGTGGCAAGTACTTGACATCTCTCCAGCCCTCTCGGTTTTGATGAAAGGAAGCTTGAGTTTACTAAGAAACACTGTTATTATAGATTTAAGCCCAGGTGTTAAGGGAGGAGAGACACTTAAAGGACAATACACCTTCAAGACATGGGTGTGGACTTCTAAAGAGAATCTCCAAGATTTACTGGTTCTTAATCAGAAGGTTAAGGCGTAGTCAGGATTTGAATTTTTACTTTCTTTAAAAAGTTTTGGCTAGAGAGTTGGCTCAGTGGTTAAGAGAGCTGGCTGCTCTTCCAAGGGACCCTGGTTTGGTTCCCAGCACCCACACGGTAGCTCACAATTGTCTAACTCCATATCCAGGGGATCTAATGCCCGCCTCTGGCCTTCAAGGGCACTTACTAGGCACACACATGGTGGATGGATAGTAGAAATATTTCAAGGTGTAAAATGCTTGCCTAGTTTGCACCAAGGCTCTGGGTTCGACTCCCAGCACTACAAAGAAACAAAACAAAAAATATTTCAATAGAATTTCATCATGGTGTGTGCTAGGATAGAGCACTGAGGGTCAGAACACAAGCCAACCTTGTCAGGTATGGATGGTGGAAGAAGGGACCAGGAAACATCCCCCAAAGAGTCTTGAAGAATGTAACAGTTCAGACCAACAAGCTGGAGTGGGAGTTTTGGAGGCTCACGTGTGTGTGTGTGTGTGTGTGTGTGTGTGTGTGTGTGTGTGTGTAGCAGGAACCAGCAGAGGCCACCCAGCTACATGAAGAAGGTGTTGAGGGGACATGAAGTGTGGGGCTTTTCTGTGCTGGCAACAGGGCCAGGGAAGGGCATGAAGCAAGGACATTTTGTGGTGAATTTTAAGCAGCAAGTGCGTGCACATATGGACACACACACACATAAACAGGCTGCTGCTGTGTGGTTGAAGATGATTGTGTCCAGTGTAGTGCTGGTTTAGGTACTGTCTCGAATAGTTGTCTTTTCTGGTCATTAAGTGAGTTGAATTGTGTACTCATTTAATAAAATCAGCTTCCAGTAAAAGGAAATCTACTTTTCTCTCACCACTCTCAATTCATATTGGGTGTCTGTAAGTTCTGTGTGTACTTGCTGACTGCGTAAGAGTAATCCACAGACTTCTCCCACTCTTTGGCTAGATACTATAGAAGTTTAAATCTTGACTGTGTCTCTTTAAATTCTGGCACTCTTTTTTTTTTTTTTGGTCTGTGGGATAAGCATCCCTAGCAGAGATACTTGGACAGTCAACATCCAGGTGTCAGTAGAAATGCTGCTAAGTGGCTTTCTTAGCCACTTAAAGTTACCCTGCTAAAAATGAGAGTTTCATGGAAAACGCCAAACATTTTGAAACTCTCACCCAGTGCTCGCCTCTAGTGTACAGCACTGTAAGAAGTAGCATGCACAGGGGAAATGACTTGACTTCTACACAGTGATTATTATTTAGCTGGCATTTTTTAATGTTTGGATGAAGTTCCCCAACTGCTTGAGGAAGAGGCTGTGCTCTCGCACACCCGTAGTCCAGCGCCTCAGGAGGCTGAAGCAGAGGATTGCCAGCGCTGGCCAGCCTGGGCAACTCAGTGACTGTCAGAATAACAGCAGAAGGTCTGGGTGTCACTCAGTGGTGGGACACTTGCCTAACATGCTTGATGGCTGCACTTATCTTTTTCAGTTACGTGTACCATGTGTTTTTGTGTGTGGGTGTGGGTATGTGCCCATGAGATACCCTTGGAGACCAGAGGAGGGTATTGGGTGCCCTGATGTGGTTCTGGGAATTAACGTGGGTCCTCTGCAAGAGCAGTGCGTGCTCTTAACCTCTGAGCTGTCTCTCCAGTCCCGTGCCTGTTTTCAGAGATTTCTGTTTTTAGTGAAGCTCTTGCCACTGGGGTAGGAAGTCTAACTTGGATTGTGTAGATTCATTTTTCCTTGTTTTTGGTAGCATACTTTACAGGCTTATAGTCATCAGGACAGCCACTAATTGTGATTATGATCAGTTAATTAGATGTAGCAGAAGTCATGAATTATGATCAGAGGGATAAGCGTTGTTCATTCTGAGTAGGAACTGTAGAATCTACACACTGAGCTGGGGTTTCTTAGTCTGGCTTCCTTTTTTGGGGGTGTGGGTTGTACTGGGAACATGTGAAACACATGCCCTGCAAATATTGTAGCACTGATTTTTCTTCCCCGCCCTGAGTCATAAGCTTTTTTTTCCCCCCCCAGATGCTAGGGAGGAAATTGTTAAAGGATCTGAATCAGGGATATAGTCAGAGCCTTGAGGGTTCTACCCTTAGGGAATGGTGTGATCTTCTGCGGGGGACACAGGACAACCAAGATGGAACTGAGTGAAATCTTGTTTTGTTGGGATTTAGGTGTATACTACCACACATGGCTTTTTTTTTTTTTAACTTTTTTTTTTAATGTAAGTGTAAAAATAATGCATTTCATGTGATGTTTTCATACATGTCTCATTGTATTTTGCTCATAATTTGGGGAACTTTTACGTAAGATATATTTATAATTTTCTGTGTGCTTTCAAGTTAAAATACACAATGGCAGCATTTATACAGTTCCTCTGTAATAATATATAGAATTTTCTAATTTTAGGCATACTGTTTGCTAAGGCAGTTTTTTTTTTCTTTAGATGGCACTTTGGAGCACATTTAAAAGATGCTTTTAGAGATTGAGCTCAGAGTGTTTATTAATGGATGAAAATCTGTCTGTATTATCCTGTAATTTCCCTAAGTAGAACATGCTTTCGTACCACATCTTGTTGCAGGAAGTGTTTTTAATGACTTGTATAGACTTGCCCAGCCTGCTACTGGTAGCGTATGGAGGGAGGTGGGTGGCTGAGTGATTCAGATGCAGGGCAGGTGGGATCTAGAACCAGCTCTGTACCAAGTGAAGTCTGAAGTGTCTGGTTGAGAGCTACCAAGGTAGCTTTGCTTGTTAGTAGCCAGTTGAGAAAGGAACATAATGGTTTAGTGACCTTGAAAGATAATCAAAGAAACTTCTCAGCTCTGTCCCTTAATTTCCAAATGCCTTTCAGAAAAGTTGTGTACCCTGTTGTGTCTTAGCAGAAGTAGTCCTGGCCTTGTGATCCAAGAGTTTCTATCTTACAGTTCAGTCAACAGTCTCTTTTAGATGGTCCAGATAGGATTGTACAGTCTTCAGAAGTAGTTTGTTTTTCCAGCTTTTGCTTTGATCTTGTGCTGTCTGGAAAATG